ACCATGTTTCTTGTGGCATGTTTAATTTTATAATGATTGAAAACACAAAGACCAATCATGGCATCTTTCTTCTGCCTCTTTGGGTTTCTATGCACTTTGTACTATGACTGTTCAAACCGCATATACTTGAGGATATGCTCATTCCTCAACCCAATAATTTACAACATATTACTGAGAACCTTAATGCTCACTGGGCTTAGCAAAAGCACTGGGAGAGCTAGAATTACATTGATTTTAGAGAGTCTAGAGAGGCAGGCGTGTGTAAGAAACAACTCCTAAACGCATTGCCACTGTGAAGGTTAGCTTTTGCTTTGCACAAACAAAGGTCACCAAGAGTCAGAGAAATCTGAGTCCTGGGGCAGTGACCGCAGAGTTGTGGGCCTGTGGGGAGAGACAGAAGCGTGGGAGTTAACCAACTTGACAGTGAGTCAACGCTGCTTTCCGTGTCCCAGAAACCAGAGAGTGACCCGTGAGCTGCTGAGATATATTCTGGTTGACACTGACCTTGGGTATGTTGCCTGGGTGTACTTTCCAAGTAGAAGACAAAATTAAATAGAACCGAAGTAGAACACAAAGTCAAATGTTGGAGTGCGAGTGTGTTGTATCCTATTTATTTCCCTGTGACAAAGAGGGCTTCTCTGATTGCTTTAAGCAGACCTCATTCCTAGTCTCCTAGGCTGGTACTAAAACGCACAACAGCATTTTAATCTTCAGGGAATGGAAGGATTTGTGAACAGTAATGTGTTTGTGAAATAGCAGATTGTGATTCCATTTACCTCAAAGATTGCCTTGAGTAGATGCTGCTATTATTACAGAATAAAAAAAATCTCTGTTAATTCAATGATTGTTATGTGGATTCAGACACATGGAGATAAATCTTATTTTTCAAAAGTAACAAGGAAACCAGCTCAAGCAGCCCCCTGCAGACCCTCCCCAATGTCTAATGTGATATTTTTTGAGGTTTGAGTGTGATATGATCTGCCAGGAACTGGGCCAATTATATAACATGAGTAAATCCCAGGAGTACCAGAGGAAACTCGTGTAAATACTGAGTGTGATATCATATCGGACCTGATGCCTTTAAGGTGTTTTGCTGTTCACACTTGAAAACTTTTCTCCTGTTTTTAAACAAACATAAACTTAACCAGAGTTCGATAATCTTACTAAGAACTATTCTTTTTATTGTATTGTATTGTATTGTATTTTCCTTTTAACAAAATCTTTCACTAAGAGTAGATTTTGTTAAAAGGAAAAGAAAAAAAAATACTTTTACTTGTGGCTTGCGGTTTTTTTTTCTTTTCTGAATTTCACTACATTATCTCGATTGGCTTCATTCTGCCTTGTGCTGTATTTTGCTATCTTCAGAATAAATAAATAAATAAAAATAAATACTTGAAAAGAGAAACAGAATATATAAAGAATAAAACTATCAACAGCAAAAAAAATTTAAAAAGCATTTGAATCAAGAAGTGGGAACCACAGAGTGTAACAAAGCTTCTAAGTTTCTGGTAAAGGTTTGTTTCTTTAAATGTGCTGTTATGCAGATTTTCTCACCAGTGAATATGTATCAGTTTGCACACATTTTTGCACTCTTCTATACACATATAATACTTCAACTCACCTATAAATGATTCAAAACACTTTTTAATATCCTTTTCTCACCTACAAATTACATATGAGGATTTATAGTATAAACATGATGGTATTAGGTCAATATCTTTCCCTTTTCCTTATGGAAACTCTACTAAAGAAACAGGAAAATAGAAACAAGCAAACAAAGGAGTACCTCAGATCTCCTCTTAGCAAAACAGTAAGGTTAGCAGCACTTGCTAACCTTAATTGCTCTTAATTAAACAAAAGAAAAAAAATGAATTGCTCTTAATTAAACAAAAGAAAAAAAATGAACAAAAACACAATGGAAATTGAAATTTAGCACACGCCTCCCCCAAATTACCAAATTACCATTTCCTCGAGCCTTTGTAAGATCTAGGCCTACGGAGTTGATACCCACTGACACCCACTGGAGGGTGTGCAGGTGGAGTGGGAAGAGGAGGGGCAGAAGTCTTAGGGTGACCAGAGGTGCACAACTCAAAAGTAAAAAAAGCCAAAAATACACTTCTAAAGAAGGAGGTGCACCATGTGGTGGAAGACCAGTGTTTAGTGTTGAAATAAGCATAGCTACCGAAGACATCTGACATGTTTAGTGAAGTGGCCAGCTAGCTAGGATCTATGCATCCACCAGTTCATTCACCAGCCATTCATACACTTCAAAAACTTTACAGAAAAAATTGCAAAACCTCTACACAGTAAACATGGAAGACGGAGAGTGTGATTAAATCAGTCTTCCAAATTTCCTTCTTATTAAGCCACGAAAATTATACTTTCCTGTTTAAAAAGTACACATAAATGAATTCAATTTAAAAAGTATGTGCAATTTGATAAGGCTTCATTCATCTCCCATAACTCCGTATCTTCTCTAACCTTCTCAGTTCTCCCCTTCATCCATTGCTCAGTGCCAGTACATTCTGCTTCTGAGCCTGTGTCCTGCCCGCCCCCAGAAGTCCTGCCCCACGTAACCACGTGACACGCTGCCATAGTTCCTGAAGACTGGGATGCAAATGCCATTCCAGGGAGGGCTTTCTTGGTCTATCTAAAATTCCAGAATTTCAAGCCACACCCTCACACATTTTATTTTCTTGCATTACTTTTCTCTTCAGGACTTCCCTTTATCTAACATATGTGCATCATATGTCATTGCACATTTATATACATTTCACTTAAATTGCATATGTATGTGTAATTGAATACATATGTAAATACATATATTCATATCTCCATCCCCATCTACTTCCATATATTCTCTCCTCACAGAAATCCAATTAAGAAGCTTTTTGTTTAACATAAATCTGTATTAATAATCTTGTCTTCTTTAACATGACACAAAGTCGGGGATTTCTGTCAGTTTTGTTCACTTTTGTGTCACTGGTCCTTAAAACAAGACTAGAAATTAATTGATGCTCAGTGGTGTCAAACAACTTTGATGAAACAGAACAACATCTACTGTATCCATAAGTTATCTAAGAAAATAATAGTGAATATTGACTGGTTTATCATATGTTAAAATATAAAGCATGCTTCTCAAGGGTAAAGCTCTAGACCAATATTATTTGCTATTTAATTTACTTAGAAATTGCTAAAGGTTTTCAATTTTTCTTCATGTCTTCTGTAGTTTATTTGAGGCATTTCGTTCCAGATTTTTTTTTCTGACATTTGGCATTTCTCTTTTAATTTCAGACAAAATATTCCATCTGGAATTTATTTTCTTGTTAAGGCCAGAAAAGATATATGATCTTTTTCTCCCAAAAATCCTGCCAGTTTCTCTGACATCATTTATCAGTTCATATGTTGATTTATGTATGTAAGCTTGCACATATCTGTATTTATATCTAGTTTCTGTCTCACTGTCTCTCTTTACTAGCCAGAATTGGAAGCAGTCCTGTGTTCATTTGTGTTTTTACTTATCTTCGAGGGCATAAATATCACATGTTTTATGTAGTGTAGTTTTACATAGTTTTTAATACTTGATTTCCCTTGGCTAGTCTTCTTTTATAAAAGCTTTAACTATTTCAAACTGTTTAGGTTAAAATATAAAATTTACAATCAAGTCATGCAGTATACAGCATTTTTAATTCACTTACTAGGATATAATAGCTTATGATATTAAACTACTACATCTTCATTTTCAGATAAATAACTTAAAGATAAACATTTTAAATGAATAATTTTAATCAAATGCTTACCTAGCTAGATTAATATTTATCCAAACAAAATAAATATTTATTATCAGTTTAGGATTTTATATATTTTTCACAAGTTAAATGATCATAATTTTTATTTGATATCTTGGTATAAAGGTCATTCTACCTTCATATTATAACTAAAAATATTTATATTATAACTAAAATCTTCATATTATAACTAAAAAATCTATACTTATAAAAGGGGTTGTAGTCTATACAGTTAAAACTTGAAAATAAATGTTGCATAAATGACAAGTCTTCTCATTTATTACTATCATTCAATAGTAGCTATTTCTCAAGCATATTGAATTTGTAATTACTAGGCTTCAGTGTTGTGATTACTACTTTGGCATATAAGTACCCAGGAGTAATGATAAAAGTTGCAAAAATGCCTCTAGTGTCCTACTTTATTACTTAACAATTCATTGGACTTCAGGAAAATAATCATCAATTAATGTAATACAATTATTCAGTGACTTTCTCTAATGAAGAACACAAGACTAAAAAAAAAAAAGTGTATGCTTTCAAAGCAAATTTCTTGAGCCTTAGACTATCTGCAGACAATTTGAAATAAACTTGAGGGGTTATTATGAATCTTTCTTAATTTAAAGGGAGAATTCCAATTCCTTAGCTCATTTTATACTGCAAAATGTTGTGTTTAGTGATTTATTATAGACACAACTGACTAATGCTTGGAAGAAATCATTACAGTTGGAGAACGTATGATAAATTATCTAGGATTCAGCAAATTGCAGTTTGAAGCCTTATCGTGAACTTACAGTTATTTTTCTGGGAAGGTTTTCTGGGCAGAAAAGAAGTTGTCAAACTAACAAACCAGCAAAGTAGAATCTTCTTGATTTTTTTAAGACAAAAGAAAAGAAAAGAAAGAAATATCTCTTAAGTAGAAAATCATTGTTCTTTAACCAAAACTTTAATCCTTCAAGTTGAGGTATTACTGAATACAGGGAGTATCTTTGCCTTTTTCTTCTTAATTAAGCACTTGATCATATAAGAGCTTTGTAATAAACAAAATAGTATTTGTACCTAAGAAATAATGTAGCTTTCCAGATGAAACTTGTTTTTATATGTTGGTCCTATCTGTTGGATTACCTTGACTTCAGGAGATAAACTTGAACTTCTTCAGATGGGATCTTTACTGTTAAAAACACAGAGTGAAACCTGTATGGTTCTTGAGTTTAGATCTGGAAACTGACAAGGTAATTTCTTCCATACTCTACTGGTCAAAACAAGTCACATGATCAACCAAGATGTAGAGCAAGGAACAGCCTCTACCCTCAAGATAGGAAGAACAGACAGAAAAGAGAGTAGAAGATGAGTACAGGACCAGAAGAATTACTGCCAGTATGACTCTTCGTAAACTTACCACAATATCAGGAAAAAAAGTCTTCAAAACTGTGAAGCATTAGCTATAAAACTGTGTAAGTATGGTAAAGGTAGGTTCATTGTGTCATTTAGTCAATGAAATAAATTTCAAAATAAAAAATTTTAATGACTGACTTTTCCTCCATTTGGAGTGTCAAACGCTTTTGTATTTTATGCATGTGTGTGATTTGGTGTAAAGCATGCCATGCAATGAAACAACAGAACTAAAATTTCCATCAGTTAAAATATCAATTCAGACTTTAGAGGTAAAGAATGAGAGGAGAAGGTTTATCTTCAAGAGGTTAACATCAGCAAATATTTCATGTAAGTACCTGTCAGGACTGCATAGTGTTCATTAGCCATTGTTTTTCTTGCTTATACTTGTTCATTTCAGTGTAGAATTTTGTAGAAATGAGATATTTTTCTTTTACAATTAGACTATTCATTGATCCAATGCCAATGGAGTATAAAACAACTCCTTAAGATAATTTAAAATGTCAAATAATGATGTCTAAGTCACGTCAGTCCTGACCAATTACAGTTATTTAAAGTATACATGAACGATTGTATTTTCTAGTATTTGGGGCCCAAAAGTAAGCCCGGTTTCATTATGCTTTCCTAGAGTATAATATATAATACATTGCTGGCTAAAAGCATGATTTTAAATGTTCATAGATATCTTTTAGTTCCATAGACCTAATAAATAATCTGCCCTTTATTACCTAATCTCTTTACTGTAGAGAAGAAGAAATGGCTACTCATGAGCTCAAGCAGTATTGCCCACAGCTGGCCAGTTACTAACAGAAGGACTGAAGACCCAAAACCCCAGGTATCCAACTGCCAGAGCATTGCTTTCCCCTTCTCAAGTGCCCGAAATTCACACTGAATGGTCAGATACTTGTGCGACTACATAGGAGTCCACCTTCTCTCTCTTTCCAGGCATTTGGCCCACCCCATCCCCCACTCTTCTTCAGTACCTGTCCTTGGGCCAGACGCTGGAGCTGTTTCTGGAAGTATAAAGAATTCTCTTCTATGACACTATTTAAATAACATTATAATAATTCACTTAAATTTTAAGCACAATTATCTTCCAGCCATTAAACATTTTTTATTAAAATGAAATAGCTTGAGTCAATTAATTCTTGAAGTATCATTATATATTATCAAATATTAGAGTTATTTAAACTGTCATTGATAAATGGCATATTAAATACTGATTGATTAAAATAAAAAGTTTCCATCCATATGGTCAAGTTCATTATCTTCATTATTAATCATGTATGGTTCACAATTTGGAAAGTTGATATAATTTACATGAGACATGTAATTTACATAATTCATTTTCATTTTTCTTTTAAAGTATTTCTCAAGTGTTGTAGTTAAGAGTCATTATAGAAAAATTTTTTCTAAGACATATAATTATCAGCATGAATTGAATCAAGTTGTCTTTTCTGACAATATTTTCACATGACTTATTCTAACATACATGTTAACTATATATTTTTATTCAAAACATAAATGAGTTGTTCTATGTATTTTCACTTTTAAAGTTTTCTTTAATGTATATAAATCAAATTTCACAGATGAAAACTGAAATAAAAAGAAAATATTTAAACAGGCAATTTTCTAGGAATGTGTATCTGACATCACAGTGCATTTTTAAGTGATAAGAAAATTAATTTTAAAAAATAATATATGATAATCAACTTCCTAAGAGCTATGCCTTTTTTAAAGTACTTAAATAAGAAAAAAAGCTAAAAATGAATTTGAGCAAAAATCTAGAACCATGTGAAAGGTGACTGAAACAGAAAGAAGTTCTAATTTAAGGGGGTGAGTGGAAAAAATGCAATTTTGCCAAGGCTCAGACATATCATTGGGCCCATTCACGTCTCAGTATTACACAGATTATCTATGATTAAACTGGAATCCACAAACAGTATAATATCATATTTTCTGTATTAAAAAATATACCAATTGAAAGAGTGACCATGAAGAAATTCTTTTCTAACAGCAGTTAAAACCACCTCTAAAATTGCAGAAGAACTTTAAGACAGAAGTCTTTTATTTCAGTTATGCACTTCAACATTGAACGTATAATTTTCCACTCAAAGAAACCTCATTTGTTCAGTGGACATTAAAGCCATGATGTATTTTGAAAAGAGATTTTTTTTAAAAATCATTTTTAAGTGGCATTTTGGAGAGTATCCACGTAGCATATCCACGAGTGCAGTATTCTGTTTCTAAGTTGTGTTTCTTTGCTATGAAGTGTATTTCTCAGTGACTTCAGGTGGAGATTTTGGTTCATTTTATTTAATAATAAAGACTTGACTTGCAAAAATATTACTGTCACTTGCTTGTCACTACTACCAGGTTATTCTTGCTTTTCTAAATAACTGGAACTTTTTCTATCTTTTTTAGTTATTTTCCTGATGCACATTTGAAGTTCAGTAGGATTTCACAACCCATAGGGTCAAAATGGGATCTTAGAGATACTGCGGGCTAAATGAGGCAGACAGGGGCACCGTGACAAAGCAGAGAGAAAACTCCCCTGAATGCCAGCCCTGAATTTAAGGTGGGACCCCCATCACTGTTCCCCTCAATGTGCTGGAGCTCAGTGCTTAGCCGTCCTGGACACTTACATTTCTATTCAATAAATGTGAAATGCTTTTGTATTATTAATATTGTTATTATTATTATCTAAGAAATCTAAGTACTGGGGATATGAAGGTAACAAAGAGACAATTTCTTCATTCAAGTAAGAGTAGATAGCTGTTGTTCAGAACTTGGCATAAGATAAAATTTATGCATTTTATTAACAAAAGATAATCATAATAATATCTTTATTTTAAATAGAGGATTTATAAACTTCATTCAAAGAGTTATTTCTCTATTAGAACTGAATATCAGGAAATAGAGATTTTTTTTCAAGATGCTCCTTATTAGAAGAAAAAAGTCAAAATGATAATGAATATGTTTTATATCTATATAAATATTTTGTGTTTTAAGCAAGGTAATACTTAGATAAAATAGATTTTATATTTCTTACAGAACTTCAGTTGGATCTCTCCAAGGTGTCCTCAATTTTCTGTATGTGGTATTGGTATAGAACAGGGCTGTCACACCGACACTCATCCCTAACTTGTTGAGTTGCTTTCCTTCTTATTTTTTCTTTCTTTCTTCATTTATTTATTTAGTGATAGAATTTGCATCTTTAAGCCACCCAGACTGGCCTTGGATTTCCAATCCTTCTGCCTCTGCCTCTCAGAGTGCTTGCATTACAGGTGTGTGTCACCAAGCCTGAGTTATGTAATCAATAATGATCATCAAACTAAAGATACATCAATTTTAAAAAGATCCATGTTTTTTAACAAGGAAGCTTACTGTGATAACAGAGTTCAGAAAACTACTGAACCAGGCCCTCTCAAACTTCAGATACCAAGTACATGTGTGTGAGGCTTTACTAATATTCTGTAATGAAAAATGTATCGGAAGGGGGGTTGATTTTCTTGAAAATTATGTGTGAGTCCACTCAAGCTCTTATATTGATGCTTAATTAATATTCCAGAATTTCCTGGCAAAACCTTTGGATAGTTGAGGCTGTAGACAGCTAAGGTGGTCTTGAGGAATGTCTAAGAGTAGGAATTGAGCCTGATACATGCATGAAGAAAACAGCTCAAAAATATTCAAAGAATAATTATTACATTAGTCAGATCCCTAAATATCCATGTGAAGATCGCACAAGAGTCAGTAAATCCACAGTAAAAATATTTCTAATAGATCGACAGTAAAAATATTCAAAATAACTCACATAATTCTCAGAATTTAAAAATTATCTGTTTCTTATGTGTAGTTGTGTACATGAATTTTGATTGTAGAGTAATGAGATATGGAAATATAAGTTATATCCTGAATCTTATTAACTCATGGAGACATATTTATCGCTAAACAGATAAATCTCTAGGTGGTGCTATTATGAATATAACTTACAAACATCTTAGGTTTATGAATTTAGAGTAACACATTTTCTAGTCCACAATGATTACTTTTTTGAGTTCCAAATTAACTTTTTATTAAATGCAAAAAGAAATAGCCCTATGCTTTTAATTGTTATTAAAATGTACCTAGGATACACATTGGCAGCTGACACATTAAGACTACAAAAGTCACTACTTTGGCTTTTAACATTTCTGCTTTCCTAAGTCCGTAAACTCTTCATAAAGTGTTAGAAGAATGTGACCTGTATTATTGTCATTATCAAAAATGTCTGTGTTTGGGAAAAAAAACTGAAGCTTATCCAATATGAACTCTTTTAAACAGAGTTGGAATTATCTCCTGAATGACTAAGGCAGATGTTTGGCGGAGTAAATAGTCACATAAGTAAGAATTTATAATTCTTATCAAATCAAATAATCAAATAATGGTCACAACGTGGATATTTAAGTCATGGGATATATTTACTCTGGGTTCTCAATACAGTCTCTATGTCATGAACATGTTTTTGAATTTTTACTGACTCTTGTGTACATATAATCATTCAATAATATTATTTGTATAGAATTTTTCATGTAGGTAAAAAGCATATTTTGGTTGTTCAAATTCCATTTCTAACAGATGCATAGTTCATTTCATTAGTCATTTTTAGTCATTATTACATATGTTGATATATTATTGTTCAGAATCAGTTGCCATGAATTACTAAGAACTAGTTTTTATCAAACTTCATATGCAAGGCCTAAAGTATCAATTAATTTTAAGTACCTAATCAAAAAGCCAACTGATCCAGAAATCTTTCCACTAGTAAAATCTAGGTACTAATGGAAACACCTAGGAACATGCTTACTTGAGAAATTTCTTACTTTAGTTTACTGTACCACCATTACAATGGTGCTTTGGTTAATGACAATCTTCCAAATAATCATAAAGCTCAGGGTTTTCTCAATAGAATTTCTTGTAGAATTTGAGCCCCTGCTGGTGAAAAATTTACCTTTTAAAGACATAAACTTCTGGTACCTTTGTCTCCCTGTCCTTTCTTTCCTCACACAATATTTCTCCTAATTCCCC